CTTACACGTGTAATTCTAGCCCCATGGGAGGCTGAGGAAGGAGGGCCGTTTGAGGCCAGGAGTTCAAGACCAGCCTGGGCAACATAGCAATAACTTGTCTCTTAAAAAAATAAAAATAAATACAAGGGATTAAAATTGGGTGATATTGATTTGTACTTTAATTCAGAAGTTATCTTCTCCCAACTCAAAAGTCTCAATTTGGGTTGAGAGCACACAGGAAGAAGACCAACTTCTAAGAAGAGTCTGAATAAGCCCCCAATTTGTAAAGTCTCTTTCTCAATTACTGTTGGGAGTGGTAAATAGTAGAAATTACTCTGGGCATAAATAACAGCTTAGTTTAATCCATATGATGGGGTTAAACAATAATGGAGGTTGCATTGGCCAAATCTGGACAATTTGAGCATTCAAAGTAATAATGACGATAATAAGCTACCACGTAATTAATATAAAGAAGAATCCATGAATTCACAATGATACTCTAAAAGAAAAGGGGGGGAGTCCTTCTTTATAGAATAATGCCATCTAATAAATGTAGACGAATGATAGAATTAGAGAGGTGTCATTTTGCAAGCACCAACATAATAATTGATTCAGATAAGGATCACCATGGATGCACAATCGGGTAAAAAGATGTTTGAGAGCAGGATCTTCACTGATCTCAAAGTATCACCCCAGAGATTATATATTAATTACCAAGGGAAAATATAACTTTACAATGGAGAGATATGGAAGATAACACCTTAATCAAGTGATTACACTTAGCATTATGGGCCACCTGAAGTCATGACATAGGGAGGATAATCGCCTATGTAGCATTCTTCCCAAAAATGTTTAACCTGAATCTGATCATGAGGAAACAGACAAATCCAGATCGTGGGAGAATTTATAAGACAACTGTCTAAGACTCTTCAAAAGTGCCAATGTCGTAAAAGACCAAGAAAAAGTAGAGAAATGTTTTACACAAAAGGAAACAAAGACATGACATGCAATGCCTCATGTTTGATTGGATCCTGGATCAAAACAGAACAGATTTAAAGAATAGTATTGGCTTCTGGCCAGGATGGAGTAACAGGGACATTGAACCTTGTGCCTGAGACAACCAAAAATACCACATAAAACATATGAAACAACAGTTTTCAAGACAGTGGACATCAACGAAGGACAGCGATCTCTGTGAGATGGGAAATGAATGAAGTGCGACCTATGACTGCCCTAGCTTACTGCTTTGAGAGTTTCCAGGCCTTGGTGCAGGGAGAGGAAAGTCAGGCACAGACTGGTGGACTCTCTGATTAAGGAAATGGAGCTGAGAGTCTGGGAAAACCAAGGTGGCTAGAATTCACACCTTGCGGAGTACTAGAGAGAAAAGAGGCATACAGAGAAAGAATTCTGGGATAGGCAGAGGGATCTCCTTAGCATTCCGCAAAGTACTGATTGGTGTGTGTGTGTGAGGGAACTACTTGAGGGTAGGAAAAGAACCACCCAAAAGGATTAGACAGAAGAATAATCAGATATTGCACAGGGTCAGGAATAGTGCCTGTTACCACAAGCTGGACTGGAAAACCTCGTGATTCATGGGGCGATGGGTACTCTCAACAAACTCAAATTCACAATGTCTAGAATCAAATAGAAAATCACCAAGCATGCAAAGAAGCAAGAAAATACGACCCACATTGAAGGAAAAAGCAACCAATCAAAACCAGCTCAGAACCTACACGGATGTTAAAATGACCAGACAAGGACATTAAAACAGTTATTTCAAAAACTTAAAGACTAAAAATGTCAAGTAGAGGCATGGAAGATATAAAACAGAC